TCCATCTCATGCCAGGGTGAATTTCTAAAATAGGTCTGAGGTATGGCTCTGGGTAACTGACCTTTTCTCCTCATTGACATAAAGACAGATAGCTCAGATGTGGACATTATGCTTGCAGACATCTGATGACATTTAACCAGTTTGTGGCATCCTAAAGACTTGATAATATCCTGCAATGTTCAGAATTTTCCTGAGCCACGTGTTTTAACACATGAAGAAAAAGAGATCGTGATTGGCTACTATTTTTTGTTTGCTTGGTTTTGTATGTGTATAAATGGCTGGTTTATTTGCATTGCTATGTCGTTTAGTATTTCAAATTCCTATGTGCACACATTTGAATAGACATTTTAGTCCCTGCCTGTGTTTGTTGTATTTAGTACCATTTACCCTCCTTCGCCCCGCAGTTAAAAGCAAATAATCTGAATGTGAGTAATGACAGGAGTCTGAAAGCCCTGGAGATAAATACAGTAATGTTGCTGGATTTTTGCTTGGGCTTTTATTTCTTTCCTGAATGCTCTGCATTGACCAAAGGAAATAATGTGGGTCTCCCTCCTCTATTTTTGCCTCTTACTAAACCATAGTTCAGCATTGTATTTTCTGATGGTATCCAAAAAAGGGAAGTAATTCTCTTGCATTTTAGTGTAACTGATCCAGGCTAGGAGAGAAGGCTGCTGAAACTGCCAAAAAAGGAAATATTTGGTTTTATGTTCTTATTGTGTGCTTCCTTTTCTTTAATTCCTGTATAAAATCCAAACAGGATTTATGAGGCAAAGATAACTGTGTAGCTGAAGCTTCAGCATCAATGGGATATAATTTTCCCATTTAACCTAATGTCTCTCTTAACGAGACTTTATTTTTTGTGTATCAGGATCCTGTGCACTGTGCAGGGCAAAGGGCCTGCCAAATCTCCATGCTTTTCCTGAAACCAGCTCAAAGAATAGAGAAAGTCATGTCAGCCTTTGGGTGAGGGAGTAAAACATGTGTAGTACTAATCAATCCTAACTCAGTGTGACTTTAGTCCCCAGGCTTTAAGTTTCTCTCAAAATAGAAAGTAGACTTAAAGATCTGACTCTGTCATGCTTTTCCAAATCAACTGTGTCTTATTGAAAAAGCTAATTACTTAGTAAATCACATTTGCTTTCTCGCTATATGTTTTTAGGAAACATCTGCTTCTTCTACTATATGAAAAATTGACAGTTTCCATGGGTGGCTAATCCCTATGCTAGAAATAGAGGCCTGCTGATTACCACTAAGAAAGCAGTAGCCTGGGTAGAGAAGGTTTCGTGAATATTCCCTGCAAATATAAGGATTTCAAACTATTTCAGTGGGACTAGATGATCGTTGTAGGTCTCTTCCAACAGAACTATCCTATCCTATCCTATCCTATCCTATCCTATCCTATCCTATCCTATCCTATCCTATCCTATCCTATCCTATCCTATCCCATCCTATCCAACTGTAGAAAGTCATCATCAGATACAGGGTGTGACTTGAACAGGATCAAATTGGTAGTGAAGATGCCCACTTCTTGAACTCCTATGAAGGAGTCTCCACAGCAGGCAGGGAAGAAATCATACATGATGTGAACATGTACTGTATAAAAATGACATAGCTCTAGCACTGGGCTCAGGGCTGAGCATTTTCTAGGAGCTCTTGATGCTATGTATGTACCCTCTGCTTACATAAAAACTGTAGCCAATATCTGAAATATCACAGGCAGGATTTTAAAAACTCTTTAAAATTTTCCTGGTTTATTTTAAAATGAAACTATAAAAATACCTCTTAATTATATTGCAGTAATATCAGTATATTACAGGCATTAAGAAATATGGCCCAAACTCCTTGCTTGTGAATTTGTTCTTAAAAATACTCCTGTCAGCATGCCATATGGTACATGATTAACACACTTACAGATCTGAGTAAATATTTCTTAGAGAAGGAAACTAAGGCATAGAGAAGTTCCCCTTGGACCCTACAGAAAAATCAGGCTCAAAGGCAGCACCTTTCCAGCTCCCCTGTGGTGTACAGCACAAGAAACTATGGTGGAAAGAAATTGGCACTTAAGAGCAAAAAGCTACTTCCCAATACTAATTCGTTTCTTATGCTACATAAATAATAGCAGAAGTCCTCACATTAGTTCATGGTACAGGACAGAAGAAAATATACGTTGCTTCAGACTGCAATTGAAATGAAGGTTTTGTTCTTGAAAGCCGCCTGTTACAATTCATATCTGAACCTAACAGCTTCAGGAGAGCTTTTGTGATTTATGTTTTCAAGAGGAATCATCCCAGAAAGCTCTCAAGGTTTACTATTTCTTTATACACCGAATTAGCCTCTTAAGCCAAGTCAAAGATTTATTTCTGCCTCTGAGACAGTTATTTTCCCTTCCCAAGCACTGTTTAAGTGTGTGCAGATACAAGAATTTTCAGCATCCGCATTTTTTTAGGTTTAGAGTTTTCGTCCTTTGCGTGATTCTCCTGTGCTGAACATCTCTGTGTGTTGTTGATGTTTTATGGGGGAAAACAGAGGTATCAGACAAACCACAGAGGTGCACGCTGTGAACCTGACTCTGATGGTGGCTGGGCTCAGGGATGGGAATGCTCCCTCTCCAATCTTCAATGACCATGCAGAGACACACGAGCATTTGTACCACAGGCTTCAAAATCCAGTGTCTCTTTACAATGCCTTTCCTGCCTTAAAACTCTGGGTTCATGCAGGTTAGGGACAAGCCTGTATAAGCTGAGTAGTGTAGTAATCTAATGTCACAGCACTGAATCTGCCCAGTAAAGGAGACTTTCTGAGTATTTTTAAGTTCTGTCTGTATTTTGCAAATCTCCAGGCTTCTTTTCCAGAAGTACAGCTTTTGTGAATTCTGCGGCTTTTTTCTTGACTCCTTCTGTAATTCTTAGATGCAGTCATGCCACACTCCCAGTCACATATTGCAGCCATTTACCAAATGCTTATAAACACTAACAGGAATACACCATACCCATACACACAAATGGACAAAACCATGCAGAATCTACACGAGGGAACAGCTGTGAATTCAGTGCTGCAGAAGAAAACTCAAAATGTGTTATTTTCTCACATGGATGTTTTTGCATAATATTACATAAATACTAGCTTTTTTGCATTTGATTTTATATGGCTTCTTCAATTAAGAACAGAAATCCAGATCTATTCACATTACAGGGAATTTTTTCTTAGATGCACAAAGAAGGTGTTGTGGCATGTACCGTTTAAGGATCCAGTCTAGGAAGGTCAAGATTCGCTGGCAGGGTTTGCTATCTGTAAGGTGTCCTTTTTAATTTTGTTTCCTAAAAACACCTCATGAGTTTCTAGTTCAGTAGGAAGAGGGCAAAGCAGAGGGCAAATCCACATAAGCAGAGAACAGCTCTACTTTTGGCAAAGCTGGAGTCCAGTGGCTTGTGTGCTACCTCTCCTCCTCATTTCACTTATACCACTTTCCCAAATACATGGTGGCCTCTACATACTTTGGGGACATTAATTAACTAATTTCGCTTCAGTGAAGGCGCTGCTAATTGCTGTTATACTCTGTTTACAGCTGAGTTCACTAGAAGTCCTGGAGGGAACCAATTTCCTCAGCCTTCCTAAGCAGAGTGGTAGTGCCAGGGATTGAGCTCACCCTGAGAGCTGTTGTCCACCCTTAATCCCTGCTGAAGCAATTAAGCATTGAAAACACTCAGCATCTTTCAGGATAGTCCTCAGGACTAGAAAGGATCAGGCTCAAGTGAGGCCAAGGAAAAGCAGCACACCGAGCACAGCAGTCCAAGAAGGTACCAGCTGGGGTTAGATGCCTGCTCCAATTGCCGTTAACTCCTGTCGCATGCAAAGTTGATAATGGCATAATTAATAACTAATTACAACGAAAGGAAGGAGGAAATGGTACAGTGAATGCTAGCAGAATTCATAAACTCAAATGCAAGTAAAATACAGTATGTGTACAAAATAATAGTTTAGCTCCTGGCTACCTGCTGTGTTCAAGATAAACAAAAGACAAAGTAATATCTTCAGGATGTATTTGTGAAGGAAACCATTCCTATTATAAGATAAAATTGCAACAGTTTATTTTATTTAATTAGTATATCATTTGTTCTTGTATGTCAAAAGGCTAATATGCATAAAAGTTATCTTATATCTTAGGAAAAATTGCACTATAAATATTATATTGTAAAAGAAGAAGGAAAGCTGTAAGCACTGGATTGTCTCCCACCAGGCTGAACTGAATCTCACAGAAATACTCTAATTTACAGCAGGAGCATGCTGGTAGACAGGAGAGATGGTGACAAGTGCAGGCATTTAGGGTTAAAAGTGTGTGTGGACCAATTTGTAGCTGTGATGTTCCAGGAGAGTCCCAAAGAAGGAATGATACGTCTGAGACATGCTTTCTTCCCTCTGTACTGACCTACCTCTGGCTGGAAAAGGAAAGCTTCATTTCCCATTCCTGGGCAGCACCCACGTGCTCTTCCACCTCTGTCTTCTTCCCCGGCAGCTGCTCTGGCTCCTTCCCAAGGCCCAAGCCATGCATCGGGGTACTGGTGGGAAGGTTCTGTGCTCGCCCCTTTCCCTCCCCAGTGGCCCTGTAAGGCAAAGCTAGCATTTGCGAGGAAGCCCTGAGTGCTACAGGAGGTTCTTCTTGTACACACACATATATGTACATACGAATGACTGTGTCTAGCAAATGAGAAACTAAAGTGAAAGAAGTAGGACAAAATTACTTTGGGGGAAAAAAATAGTAGAATACCTTTTAGAGACATCTCTTCCAAGTTTATGCATGTGATATTGGGGACAAAGGTTTGGGTCTCACATAGGGCAGTTCAGTCCCCCTGAGTCAGATCTGTATTTTTTTGCAGTGTGAAGAAGTATTGACCAGCCAGTTAAAAGCACATCAGTGTCAGTAGTGTGACCCTGTAACAATATTTTTCTTTTTCTTACCTTTTAGTTTGAGCCATCGCAGTGTCGGCAACAATCAGAAGAAAATGCAAACGTTTGTCTCAATAGCCCAGAATGCATGGGGAATTTTTGTATCCGAAAGGAAACCTGGCTGGAAGTATCTGATGCAGCTTTTTGCAGTTTGCTCTGCAGTTGGCTTCTTCTCAAGCTTTCTCTTATTCCTTGGCATGCACTTCTCCCTGGCACACCACCCTTTGGGTCCCTTGCTGATTTCTGGATTCATCTGGATCTCGCTTTCCATTGCGCTCTCGTTTTTCAAGTACCTGCGCTGTTTTAGTGTCCTGTTCCTTCTTTCTTGTGGACTGAAAAATGGCAGGAATGAGCTGGCACAGGTGTCGTGGTGGCTGGCAACATCCAAAATATTTTCCACAACCTAAAGGTTCTGGCAGACAGCGTAACCTGTCTAGAGTATCAGCAATTTGCTTTGGTGCAATATTACGTTGAGGCAATAAAATGGATTTACAAGGTGGCCAGTTCAGTTTCCACTGAACTATTTAAAGTGGACCTAAAGCATGAATTCAGACTATCTTGTTCCGTTTCAGATAGTGCACTAAAACAAGAGCTAAATGACACAAAGCAAGAAATCCAGACAGTTGCTAACCAGATATCTTTTATGCTGACTATACTGCCCTATATAGGCCAGAAAGTATTGCCTATAGTGGGGATTCTTCTAGCTTCTTTTGGAACTGGCCTCTTTATCAAAAAATTTGTGAGCTCTCACAGTGCCAAATTTAAGAATACTTATATCACAAAACAGTTCATCGCATTCGATGAGAACGAAAAGCAACATGAAAGGCCTTGTCTTCTGCCGCTTAATAGAAAAGAAAGAAAAGAATACGTAACAATCCCATCTTTCTGCCTCACCAGGAAGGACAGAAAAAATGTGCAGTATTTTTTTCTCCCTGTAATTATTCATCTTTGCATCTGGCTTCTGTTTGCTGCAATAGATTATTTGTTTTATTGGTTAATTATTTCTGTGAAAAAACATCTCCAAGCAGTACCAGATCTAGACATAGAACTCACCGTCTTTCAGCAAGTAAGTAGTTACCAGTACTTTATATTTCTTAATTTAGTATTAAAAATAATTCCCTTCATCTTCAGCAGCTGCAGGAGCAGACATACAGCCAATGAGCTGTCCATTCTCTCACGGCATGCATTCCTTTTTAAAAAGACTCACTGCCTTCACAGATGCATATGTTGCATGGAGCCAGGTATCCACACTTTCCAAAGTGTCAGCATATTTCTAGACAATGGTAAATACATGAAGGAACACTTTCATTCCTCCAGTTACATACGTGGAGAAGACGGGAAGCTTAAAATTGGAAACTCAAAATGTTGACGTTTGTGAAGCACCACTTTTATAGTCAAAATGCGATTGTGACACTGACATGACTGATGCCTACCCAATGGGATACCTGTTGGGAGCCAACTAGCTGGGAGATGGTTTTGCAGAAAGAATCCCTGAGAGTTCTGATGGGCACCGAGTTTATGACAAGCCTGCAATGTGCGTTTACAGTGAGGAAAGAGCTCTCCTAGGCTGCCAGAGGCAGAGAATTCTTAGCTGAGGGAAGTGATCCTTCCTCTCTACTTAGCACTGGTGAGACCCAGTACAAGACAAGCATGTGATGGAGTGAGTTAAGTCAAGGATCGAGAAGATGATTAAAGAACTGGAGCATCTGTCATACAAGGAAAGGCTAAGAGAGTTGGGGCTGTTCAGGCTGGAGAACAGATGACTCAGGAGGATCTCATTAGTGTGTATAAATACTTGATGGAGGGTGGGCATAAGAAAGAAGAGCCAGACTTGTCTCAGTGGTACCCAGTGCAGGGACAAAAAGCAATGGACACAAATTAAAGGAAATTCCATTTCAACATTAGAATTTATGTTTTAAACTCTTCAGGTTATCAAACATTAGAACAGGTTTCTGAGACAGTGGAGTGAATTGTCCATCCCTAGAGACATTAAAAACCCAAGTGAACACAACCCTAATGAATCCAGCTGTAAACTCAGCTATTCTCTATTGCTCTGTGTTGTTTTCCCTGTGGTTCCATCCTTTGTACCTTGAGGACCGCTCCTTATCATGACCTGCTTTAGGTGTGACCCGAATTTGCTCTCTTTATGTGCAGTATTCACTCCTGTGGAAAGCTGGCTGATGCTCCCAAAAGAGAAAATTATGCCAGCATCACATTGGTTCTAGTTCCCCAAGTCAGATTAAAATGTAAAATTTAATCTCAACAGATTTGTCACAACAAGCCTCAGGGATGCTGACCTCAGGGAGTCTGGAAAGCTGGCTGGGTGAGCAGGACAGACTCAGTGACTTATTCAGATGTTTATTCTTGGTATGAAACGTAAAGTTCTTTATGCACTTGTACCCCTGTTTCATATTGAGTTCCTAATGTAGTTTTTTCTTTCTTATATATTAGTTCAGTTTCAGGATAAAATATACTGAGATAAATTGGAACAGGATAATGTCAAAGAAAGGCTAATAGGCTGAAAATGGGTAGCATGCTTTGGGCGTCTGATTCTTCCAATGAACACCTAACAGAAGTGCCTGGCCTCTCTTGGGTGGCTAGAAGAGCCAGAAGGAAGAGCTATATATCCTCCTGACCTGGTCAGGAAAGAGGGCTGGATGATTCCGTGTCCCTACAATGTTCCAACACACAGAGCAGAAAGTTGCCAGACAGAATGGAATACCATTCCCAGCAGCACGTCTAATTTAGTCCCTCTCATCCAGCATTTCAGTCCACAAGCAGTGCAAGACATCAGCTGTCCTAGGCAAAGGCACGTGTTAGAGGAGAAGAGGAGGTGGCTTTGTCTGCATGATAAGATCGTGGTCAGAGCCCCTGCCCAACTGGGTACTGAGATGGATGGATACACTCTGCTCTGCTGTTTTACTCTGAAGGAAGGGCCCTCCAACAGAGGATCTGAGCACATTCATGGGAGTGTGAATATATTAAACCATTATAGCCAGATTAACTAAATATTTGTCTGTTAGAGCCACTGAGAATGTAAGTTCTTAACAGTCTGAATTGTGGGATAGTCTCCCAAGAAATGGCAAAAATGCAATCTGAAACATTTATAAATAATCAATAAATACATTGGTGTAAGCATAGCATATATAGACACTGGATGGACTAGACAAATTATGGTCCTTTTTAAATCCAAATGTCCAAAGGGAGAAATTGTAAGAAAGGAGGATATCAGTACTATAATCAGCTCTTCCCCCTCCCCCTCTTTTCTTGTGCAGAGGAATGATAAAAGATTTATCATTGGCATGACAGAGTATGTTACAAAGACCGATCATTTCAAGATGCCTTTGTTTAAGCATGGATGCATCCCTCAGCCAGAGTTTCCTCTCTCCTCGACATGGATCCAGCTTGGAGTCATCATCATCTTCTTAATCATTTTTGGATTATTGTCTGGCCTGCTGACTCAACTTAAAATACTCGTGTCAAGCTCATTTTATCCTGACACTGAGATGAAACGGATACATTATTTGCATGCAAAATTACTCAAGAAAAGAGCAAAGCTAAAAGAGAAAACTGGGAAGAACATGTTTGCTAGAACGGTAAGCCATCAGCTCTAGGAAAAAAAGTAAATCTCCCTTTCTCAGGGTGGTAGCCAGATCCAGGAAATACTGAAACACTTGTAAGTTTAATTATGGACTAACTAGACTTTCCCCAGTGTTCTTCTGCACAGGGGCCAGAGACATGTTGCCTATACATGCATATAATTGCTCTGTCCTTCAAACACATGCATCAGACGTGACATGGCTACACCCAAATGACTATGTACTGGCAAGAAGATGCTCCTCAGAACTTCCCAGAGAAGAAATTTGGTTTCCATGAACATACGAAAAGTACCTCCAGCACAAAGAGTATTCCTACAATCTAGACAGCAAATGTTAGGCACCTGTGAGCAGCATCTCCATATTAAGAAAGATATGAAGTTCTTGCTTAGCGAAAGGGAAGGTGATATATCTGTTTTAAAACACAGTGGAAGTGCAACTGCAAATACCATTAGGAAATAGAACATTTTGCTTGCAAAAATATGATATATATATATATACAGACTAATGGAAGTAACAACACATGTGCATACACTTATGGCAAATCCATAATAGCTGCAGACATAGTTTGGTTTGTTTCTTTTAATAGACTTCATTACTGACTATAAGACTTTAGCGTCTGGGCAATCTCTAACTCAGTAGTACTATCATTGCATCATATTTCTATCTTTTCAGCTCAGCTTTTGGTTTCCAATACTCAAGGCAAGAGAAGCAGTGAGGAAGAAAGAAAGGAGTGTGGCAAACGACAACATCATGTGCAAGAGACCAAGCGAACCTTTGGATAAGGCTGAGATGCTCTAGCTCCACAGAAATCTGGTTTTTTGCACCCATCTTTCCTCTAGAATGTCAATTTTAAAATGTAAAAATAGGATCAAAGGCTAATTAGCATTATTTTGGAAAAGTGTGGAAAAAAAGTCATGGGAGGTAGTGTGCTCTCCACCACAGAGAGCTCCAGGTTGCATTAGTACTAGTTTTTCAATTTGGGGTCTGCATTGTCTGATAATTTAGGAATCCATGAAGGGTCTGTTCTTCTGTGCATAAAGCAAACAAAGAGCTTGGAGCTTTTAGGTCTGCAGCTCAGATCTCTTCAGGTTGAGCTAACAGAGCACGTAACTGCAGCAGCAGGTTTGCCTTCTTCACATGTGCCAGACACTGAAGATAGGAGACACAGGAGGGCTATCCATTGGCTTCTGGGCTGGCCAAGACCCTAACTAGAGGGCTTAGATGTTTCTAGACATTTCTTTCAATTTTCAACTGAGAAATATCTATCTCTCAACTCTAGCTATTTCTGAACTTGCTGAGGGGAGCAGCTCCCCCGCAGTGTACAAGGCATTTCCCAGAGGCAAGGAAATGCCCAGGCAGCAGAGAGATCTGCTAGGAGCCAGCAGCTCTCCTGGGAGATGCTGATGAGGCCTGAACTTTGCCAAAGCAATGGCAGCCATCCTCATGCCATAAAATATGTCCTAGAGAGCACATGTGACCAGAGTGTGGTGCATCAGCCAGGGCATCGGGCAGCAGTTTGCATGGCAGTTTGCCCAGGAAGGATGATGAAGCTTTGCCAGATCAACCAGGGAGCAATGGTCGCCATCCAGCAGAAAACGACAGCCTCTCTAAGCTCTGCACCCACCATGACCGAGGCAGCTGCCCAGCCAGAGCTCTGGGTGGAACACGTGGCCACCCTGGTGTCAGGGTGCTGGGTGAGCCCTGCTCCCACAGCAACAGAGAGCAGAGGAGGTGAGTAGGTTCAAGAGTATCAGAGTGTGAGAGAGGCATAGGCTTTTGGAATCGCACTCTACCTTCCCTGGGACAGGCGCAACAGGGAGACAGGACACAGCATGGGGCATTCCCTGTCCTCTGTCCATCTGGCTGAGCACAGTGACTCAAGGGACAGGGGGCAACAGCAGCAAGTTCCTGCCCATTGTAGCAGATGTGTCTCCTCTGCGACTACCCCACCTTTCCTGGTGCCTTTGCATAACAAGTGTGAAGCTTTGAAGAAAAAACTTGCTACCCTGGTGCAGCCCTCAGATCACTATCCATTATTGATTTTTCAGCTAGGCAGCAATGAAGTTGCAACCAGAAGTCTGAGGACGATCAAGGAACACATAGGAAAGGTTTGACTGATGTGGCCCTAGAGATTTAATGCAGAGCTAAAAATCCACCCAACAGGCAGTGTACTCTTGATTTTTCAGCCGCGGCAAACTTCTTTCTTTAGGTTGCATAACAGCAAACTCTACCCTGTTCCTCTATAATACATGCGTGGTCCCAGGACAGCCATTGATCGATGTCTCTGTTACCTGAATGAATAAAGGTTTATTTAAAACTTTCCAGTAGCAAATGTCAGAAGTTATTTTACACTTGAAACACTGAAAAACACCAAGTATTTTTTCTTTGGGTCTTCCAAGCAAAGCCTCACCCCTCTGTGAACAGAGGTGGTTTAGGTTGCTGGTGTGCCAACAATTTGTCTGCAGAAAATGAGGTGTTAGATTAAAGTAATGCATTATTGAGGGTTATGCTGAATGTCTGAGTGGCCAGACTATGTCCTTTTTTGCTAAAATGAGCCTTGGTTAGTAGCACAGTGTCATTTATACCCCAGGTACTACTGTCAATCACCAGTATCAAGAAGGATTCTGGTGAAAATGAAGCAAAACGAAGGTTGCTTTAAATTTGTTTTCACAAAACAGACTAGCTGTCCAGGTACTACTAATAAGGGGATACATTTGTTCACTCTTGTTATCATTACAGATGAAAGCAGAAGAGTTAAATGTCAGCAAGAACTGAGCTGAGTTCTGACAAGCTCATTGCCATCAGGAGTTGTATGTGCTCCTTTCAGTCCCAAAGGACAGGTTGGTGAGAAGCCCTGATCTCCTACTGATTAGAATGCCCAAAGGCAGGGGCAGGTGTGATTGACAGCACTACCACAAAACACTACTTGCTTCACTTGGCATAAGGAGGCAAAATTCGTTTTGGAGTTTCTCGCCTTTCCTGTTTCATCGTGTGTTGCCACTCAGCACAGCTTTTCTCTCTATTGTTCTACAAGAAGCAAGAAAAAGCTTTGCAACACATGGGCATGGCTCATCAAAATGACTGGCAGGGATCAAGGGTTGGGAGCGATACCTAAATCTGTTAAGACTTTCAGTTCTGGAGTGCACTCTCAGAACAATGCTATACCTGTACTTTGCATTTACATCAGGAAATTAAGCCTAGTGGGAATGACTGGTTATGAAAAAGAGCCAATAGTCTTTGGCAGGATAGGTGAAACCTTGCAGGGTTTACAGAACAACGTTGTAGTGAATGCTAGGATTCCCACCACTAACTGTCGGGGCAGCTTACTGAGTATAGCTCTAGCTTGCCCTTTCTAATTGGCAAGAGTCATGGCAGTGACAAAAGTCAGTCCTTCTCGGGAACCTAATTGTAAGTCTGTATGAAATGTTCAGCTCTGGTGAACATTTTACCTAGATGCTTGACCGTATTACCTGTGACAAAAGGCATGGAAAAGGCCAAAGTACTTCTTTGTCTTGGTCTTTACTGATCTTTGGCCATACTGTGCCCCTCAGACCAGAGAGAAAGTCTGGAGTGAGGAAGACTTATCACCATGAAGGATGACATAGAGAGCATTAAACACACTGGACATGCTTAAGTCCATAGGACATCATGGGAGGCACCCACGGGTGCTGAGAGTGCTGGCTGGTGTCATTGCAAGGCAATACTTGATTACCTTTGAAAACTCATAGTGATCAGGAGAGGTTACTGAGGACTGGAAGAAAGCAATGTCACTCCCACCTTCAAGAAGGGCAAGAAAGAGGATCTGTGAAACTACAGGTTTGTCAGCCTTGCCTCAATCTGTGGGAAGGTGATGGAGCAATTTCCCCTGGAAGCCATTTTCAAATACAAAAGAACTTGACTTAGACTACCACCTAAACATAAGGAAAACTTTCTCACTGTGAGGGTGGTCAAACACTGGAACAGGAAGCCCAAGGGTGTTATGGAGTCTCCATCCTTAGATGTAGTTAAGACCCAACTAGGCACGGCTCTGAGCAACTCAGAGCAGCAGGATTGGAGTAGATATCTCTGGAGGTGCCTACCAGCCTCAACCACTCTGTGATTTGGTGACTTTTCCACAAAGCAATGCAGAAAACATATTAGACATGTACAGCAAAAGCTTGTGTTAATTTGTGAAGGTTCTGTGCCAGCACCAGAGTGTCACCTGACAGATATTGTTGCCATTACACTCACACTGGAGTCACACACTTGAGTGGTCCAATGCACTGTTTGCCTCTGTGACCATACACATGCATATCTGTGTGCTGGAGGTGAGCTGAATATCAGGCAAAGGATAAGTTTGGTCTTCCCCATCTCCCTACATCTGGATTACCAGGAAAAATGGTACACTCAATGTCTTCTTTTTTAAAAAAAAATCTAATACAAATCCAAAGACATTAGGGTTTATCTCAGTGGTAGAACAGTTCTTACCCCAATCTACAGCACTAGGTCTATCCCTTCAGCTGCCCAGTGGTTGTCTTCAGTTGCACAGATGAAAATGAACATATGCCTCTCCCCGGGCATTACGCAGAGACATACCTCTCATTCTCTGCAGTCATTACTTGGTCTCTGTTTTCTCCCATTTGCTTCTGTCCTGTTAGCTGAGGAAGTCTGGGGGTTTGTTTATCTTCAGCTGCCTCCTCTGCAAGTTGTTCGGCTATTCCCTTAGCCTCTCTGTTTAACATGATTACGTTGTTCTTTTTTCCCCTTTTTTTGTTATAAAAAAGTCTGTAAGTTACAATAAAAAAACAGTATTTGTCCAAAATTATTTCTGTTCCTCTTCTTGCCTACCCTCCCACATTTCCCACAATTTATTTTCACTCTTTTCTCCTGTATTTGTGAGTTAAAGTACTCTTTCCTTTTTTGGTATGTTTTCTTCTTCTCCAATAGATCATTCCTACCCACATATAAAATTGTGTAAATTTTCTTTCTGCTGAGCTCAAGTGAACTACAGGTACAGTTGAAATTAAGAAATATATTTATTCATTTATTGTCTTAATGGAAATTTTTAATATGTCACATTCCAGGGCATTGTCTCTAACTGCCTCTCTAGGGACTGTCGGAAATATATTCATATACCATCAGCATTCAGAAAAAAAATCTGAGAAGTCTGGATTTCGTTTTTGACTCATTAATCCCTTTCCTTCCCCCAACTCACAGCAGAGCTCAACTTCCTTTTTTAAACATCCTTCACTAGTGTAGAATCTGTTTGATTTACTGTAAAAATCCCACAATTGGATCAAAACTGGTTTGCAAAATTAATGAAAGGCTGACCTGATTGTCTCATGAAGATAATCCAGAGAGACATGCTAGTTCTCCTGACCCTCCTGAAGCCCAGTATAAACAAGGATGTTTCCTTTCAACAACCTTGTTTATGAAACTCTCCTTATCACCACCCTGTACCTCTGAACTAAGCTTGCTCCATAGCTAAATTAAAGGCTCTTTTTGCTCTGTACTAGTTTTGTTGCAGCATTGCACGTGGGCAGCTGTGGTGCAAAGTCAGAGGATGCTGGGTTTACGACTCCTTTCATCCTGATTCCTGCTCTGTCAATATTGTCACACTGACTCAAAGTGTTTTTACCACATTTTAAATAGCCCAGAGATACCTGCAATTAAAGAAATCAACAGGCAAAGCCTTTCCTCTAGTTCATGTCGCAAAAGTGAAAAGTAGGGATGAAAGGCTCACTCTGCTGCTGGTGAAATAAAGCCTGAAAACGGGGATGTTATTGTTGGCTTTATGGGAACAGACTTCAAAATACATG